GACAACGTTGTTGCTACCGTACTCGATGCAGCAATGTACGCGATTACGGTAATCCCCGTGTATGCACATACGACCGAGTTGTTCGTATACGCGCGCACGCTGTATTATTGCTTTCCGCGGTTCTGTCCGAGGTCTCGCCGCGTCGGAGGTTTCAATCGACCGCCTCTCGGCCAAGTCAGACCAACGAGCGAGAAACGTTCCCCGACGTGTTTCGTGCTTTATTGCTTCGACCAATTCTCGGACATTACTTTTGCAATTTCGCCCTTAAGTCGAAGCACACGCGATTCCTTCACGACATATTAACGATATAACTCTTTAATGCGCGAGCGATTTAAGTCGCTGATTATTGCGTTGTTACTAATTTAACGGGAACGCATATAAAATATCACTAACGATTCAACTATACATCCTTTCAATGCTCTCTGGAAAGTTAACTTTCTTGCAGAATTCAGAATGTTACAAGTCGATTATCTGCTAATTTTCAAATTTCACATCTTGCTTAGAAGAGATATTTAATGATCGCGGATAAGAAAAAGTCGCTCCTGCAATAAAAAATAAAAAAAACGGAATTCTTTCAAACATTTCACGGTGATATAAAAGCAAAGCAGGTGCAATTCTCGCTGTGGAATTATTAAGATAATTGGATAAAAATAATTTTTCAACTTATTGTAATTTTAAAGTACAATTTATTGTAATTTCGAAGATACAAGACAGTAGTCGACGCAGTAAATAATATATCCCGGCGTACTTCTTTGTCTCGCTATCCGTTTAGAAAGTTTCCCTGGAAGCCAGGAATGAAAAACCGCCCCGTGTGGTAACCTAACGAACCCCTAGCTACGGTATCGACTTTATATGCACATGCACTTGGCACACACGCGCGTATGCAGGGTGAAAACGTAATAGCCTGGGTCACGGTGACCCGCCGCGCGACTGTTCTCGGGTTTAACTTCGGTCTCGGGGCGCGGGAGATCTAACGTCGTAGTAAATTTTGCAAAGCTGACCGGCGAAGTGTTCTCTATTTCAAAAACACAAAAATGGAGCTGGAGTACGCTAACGTCGTCGATGTTCACATGGGAAATCGCCCCGATTACTTTCGAACGCCAGGTTACCGAGTTTTGTGCAATGTTGCGAAACTTTCTGTCAGCGTGTTATTACCGATGCTGCACGTATAAGCGCCGCGCCGTTCCCGGCGAGCAACACTTTTTTTTCGCTCATTGATCACTGGCAATATCTATTTTCTCCAAAGCGTGAGCGTGTTGCGTGCGAGATCGTCGACTCCGAATGGGGCGAAGCTATCGCCCAGCGTCACTGCAGTTTTCGAATCGGCTCGGTGCAAACGTATCTCCTTGCAACGCGATAGTGGGTCTAATTTTTTACATTGTCGCGATATTACGTATCGCACAAACGAGACTACGTGTCGTACGGTTATTAAAAGAGGAAAACTTATCACGTCACAGGCAGATAATAATACGTGTATATTAAGAACATATTTATGGATACCGCAAGGAAATATGTGCTCCAATAAGGCTAACGTGCAACGACATAGACGCACATAAGACAGACGCACGATACACCGATCGATTGCATCGTTACTATTGTGACACTTTGATCCCTGATTATAAATATCTTATTCAACATAAATATTATCCATTATCGCTTGTGTCTTGCGGCTGTTTATTCGATCTGATACTGTCCGATCCTGCAAATTTATGAGAATATTTTCCCTATCCCAGAAATAATTGATAACAAAACGCGAAGAGAAAGATTTTGTACCGTTTGGTCTGTGATAAAACTTTGATCAAGGTCACCGTCGTGGAAAATCGAAGATTGCAAGTCGAAGGTGAGATAACGGTAGTCTCGCAAAATATCGCGTGATACCGTCTCGCGGCAAATGCAATTTCGCTCGCGTCTCTCGCATCTTCGCGAACGAGATTCAGCTGACTGCGGAGTCCGAGTCAATTGGATTTAATGGCAAGAAGAAAAACCATTGCTCGGACTACTTAACGCCGCGAATTGACATGCGAGTAAGAGAGGTTCTCCAGATATCCGTGTAGGACGACCGCGCTAAAAGAGTACGGGCAAGGTATAAAAGTGTCTTCTTCGTTTCAACCGAGAATAGATTCTCGTTGAAGATTCTCGTTGAACAAATAACACCAGCGTTAAACAGTTCGAGCCGGTTACTCCCATCACGGTTCACGTTCTCCGCGATCAATGAAGGCACTCTCTGGTGTTCCTAATCAGCTGACAATTCCAACGTCACGTCGATGTCTTCGATTCCCGATAAATGGTCCCGTTCTATTCATGACACTCCAAAACAACAGCCAACGTCGTCTTTCAGGAGGGTCGATAATCCTGAACTTAATTTAATCCTAACCAAAGTTGAGCATCTCAAGATATAATACTTTGCGATAAATTTTTAACGATTCAAGGTATCGGCGTTTCCTTTAGTGCGAAAGCAAATATAACGATCCACTATATACTATTTAACGCGCGCATTCGTTCGAGGTTCATAAACATTGACAGTTCAGAGCTACAGTGATAGAAGTTCGAATCATTCGCACATTGCCGTAAGCCTCGCGGACTCGTAAATGTCCACTCCTTGAGTTACCTCCGCCTGTAACGCGTCGTAATTCAATCGACCGCAGAAGTACGTCCGCCATAATTCAACGAATGTCTCTCACCGCGTATCCGCTTCTCGCCTCTCTGTCTCGAGAGAGAGAGAGAGAGAGAGAGAGAGAGAGAGAGAGAGAGAGAGAGAGACGAGTGCACTTGACTATATCGCGCACGAAAAGTCTCCGTGAGCGACGGAGTTAATGCTGCCTCGGGTGTTCGCCGGGAACTTCGGCGGGAAGCATTATACTGATTGACTATTTTTGCGACTCCGCGGAAAAGCGTCACGCCGCGTGCCGAGCGGCCTAGTTTCGCGTTCTCTATGCAACGGGAATCTGACGCTCTCGATGTCACGTCGTCGAGATGCAATTGCTCTCGCGTGCGCGCGCGTGTGGACGGAGAACCAGATGGTTATCCCGTGGATAACAGAATCAGGTCGAACGGTGGATCACGAGCGTCACGTTAACAACGCGGGGACTGTCAAAGTCTCACGGCGGCGGCGACGTCTACGACCCGGCGAAGTTTTCGCGACATGGAGATTTTATCGGATGCATTACGCGCCTCGTTGTCGTTCTACATTCTGATGCCAATTAGCGGTCTAACGGGGATATAATCCCGGATAAATAATCAAGTCCTTCCCATACCCTACCATTATCTTGTATTCGCGCTGGATCGTCGTGCTGGACGTGACATGATAGCACAAGAAAACATCGGGTATCCTCAAAGGTGTAATTAACTGGAATGAATCTAGCACCTTTTGCATGATTATCGCACCTGCGGTCGTTACAAAAGCGAGAGAAAGACAGAGAGAGAGAGAGAGAGAGACATAGATCGAAGAAAATATAAAAACGATTGTACACAACAAAATATACATGTATTAAGTTGCATTTACAGATGTAACGGCTTTTATGCAGAGCGAAACATTTGAAATTATTCATTTTAACATTAAATATTAGTATAAAAAAATGAATTTTAAAATTGTAATAATTTCAAGAGAAACTTTTTATGTCTAATGAAACGATATGTACAAAATATAAAGACCATTAATTTTTTTAGATGTTTCTTTATATAAATCTTTCGAATATTTTCCTCCTCTTCCGATTATGTAACAAAATATTACATAACGTACAGTCACATACATAAAAAAAAATGTGAAGTCGAGAAATCAAATCATGTATATTTTCTAACTTTGATATATTAAACTAATATGCGAAAAATATCGAGATATAATCAACTTAATGCGACATAAATTCAATATATAAAATTAACGGTATAATTTATATGAAAGTTCTGCTAATATTTAAATTCTAATTGCTCTTGGAAAAAGTTGTTGATCTATGGCTAGCTGGATCGCTAGATCGACGTATTGGTTTCGCGATGGGTGTGATTTGCGGTCGAATCACGAACGGTCTAGAAACACGACTCACCGCAAGAAATATACGTGCTGCTAAATCATAGCTCGCGCCTCGATCATACGATCGGAGAGAAAGAGAGAACGAGCGCGGTAATGAAGCGAGCCGCAGACACGCGGCGATCTAACGGGAACAAAACAAAGAAGAGAGTGACTAAAAGAAAGTATAAAATGGGACACAACGCGCAACTCACCGAGCCTAACTAAACTCTCGGGAGTTAAGGATAACGGGATAAGAGCAGGAGTGTATGTCTATCAAAAAGAAGCATCGCGTGGTTGCTTCCTTAATTTTTCTCATCACGAGATATAAAATAAAAAGCGTGCATCATATGTAGCTCAATATTCTTGGAATATAAGTCCTCAAATCGATGACGAATACTTTGATGTTAATATCACTTTCGATTCTTTCTTCTCCGAGGAAATCAACGATAAGAATCTTATCGATACCGTCCTTCCGATTTTCCGCTAATGAATCACGCGATGTGATGGAATCTCGAAATGTTCGGAAATGTCCTCATTTAGTCGAAATTAATCCCGCGTTCGCAGCGCTGACCGAATTAAGCCGTGAGAGTCTAATGATACGCTATCGGATATCTCGAATGAGTTCACGAATTTATCGCGCTTACGGGAAGAGAACCGGTTCATCCCGAGATATTATACACGCTCGTGTATATAAATATTGTCGCACGTACAAGATTATAATAGATATCGATTAACATACAAAAACATGATCGTTTACACGTCATCAGCAACGATACTTCTCTTTCATCACGTTTCGTATAGAGAACCGAGAAATATTAATGCTAATAATGTTTTTCTCATTAAAAAAAAAAGCAGCATATTTCGCCGCGATAAAATATCTTCCGATTAATATAATCGAACCGCATTAATTACGCAAGTTGACGTATTATTAGGAAATCGTCTAATATTTCATACGATAAGAGAGTCGCGGGTGAAGAAAAAGAAGCTAGCTACTCACCGGAACCGTAATCTATACTTGGCGTGGGCGGTAGACTGCTCTCAATGGCGGCCTTGCTGAACAGATAGATCGGATTCGTGTCGGTTCCAGCCGAGTAGGAACACACACGTGCATTTTGTTCCAAGCACTCGCCTCCGCTCATGAGCAGCACCTGATGCGCCGCTACCACACCACATTCCCTCTCGATCGCCTCCATCAGCTGGCTGACACTGCACAGAAAAATCAATTACGCATGAGCGATCGGCGAATAAAAGTTCACATTTGAATGTTATAGAACAAAGATTCTTCCGCTCGCAAACTTTTCCTTGAACACAATTCCTGGAACTCCATCCCCTCCACCCTCTTTGTAATTCTTAGAATAATAAACAATTATACCGATACTTGTTAAACGTATCCGGCGTAATGCAAAGCTTTAAAGATTTTCAAATATATTGTAAGACTAAAGAAAAAAGATAGTAAAATACTTAAAAAATATAATATAATTAAGATACAAATAGATACCTAGATCATAGATTTAATAGTGTTTGTACAATTAAGACAAAAATATAAAACATGAAATGTCCTTTCCCGCGATGCCGATAAATAAAAATATTAAACATTGCATATGTTTTCTCGATCCTTCACTGATTGAAACTGAGAAAGTTCTCTTCCGCTTCAGTAAATCAAGGGCGATATCACGCCTATAGGCAAGAAAGAAGCACTGCTCGGTTCGAAGGCGGTTAGGCTTGTTTACGACCTGATTTCCGTAAAGAGCTCGTATTGCGATCGTAATTGCCGGATAGTGCGTTTCCATCGCCGGATGCGATGCAACAGCGAAGAAATAACGAGGGTAAAAAGACGATTGGACGCGTATTGTGAGTGTGCTTTAATGCGATAGAGCGGCGATTGCCGTAATAACGCCACGAGAGATAGATGTGCTCGCGTAAGGACAATCGCGGGGCCTCGCTCGGTATAATCCTGACGTAACGTGATGGAGGATTGCCATTAATTCTTGAAACAGATGGACGTACCTGTTTGAAGTACGGTGGCAGTGCTGCACGTGCCTCGAAAATCTGCGTGCGAGTAATTAAACTGCCACCACTCTGTCAATCACGCACGGCTCGAGTGCACTGCGATGCAAAAAGCGTCGAGAGGCGGATGAAGAAAGGAAAAAAAGAAAGGAAAAAAAGGAAGAGATAAAAAAAAATTGCAGACGTAATCACGTACTAGCGTGCGGAGCGTTGTGTAATCGCGCGTAATGTTACACTGCACTCCTAAGTTTCATCTACCGCGACAGACACGTTTTTAATTTTCGACCTCTTAACACCCGCAATTCCTTTTCCCTCTTCGATCGCTTCGCTCTCGCAATCATTTAGAACGCGTGTCTCCGCATATCGCACGATCGATACGCATTCTTATTTTACGTTTAAAAAAAAAAAAGAAGTCTTAAAGACTCGTCTACGTTCGGAAATGATGGTCATAAATGACGCTTAAAATCGGAATCGGAGCGATACGTCGGGCATCATTGACACGTGCTCCGTGCAAGGTTAACTAACGGATAAGGAGTATTCTTCGGAGGAGCAAGGGAAGAAAACGCGCGGCGTATTAATAATAAGAGGAATGACGTGCTCGCAGTTACACCATCGACGTTAATAAAATTGTCGCGCGATTATTCCGCCCGCAGATACAGGCGACAAATCAACCGCCTTTCACGTAGTCCCTGAGTCGTAAAGCCCTATCCACATAAGTCGCAAACGCAAAACACAAATGCAAACGCGGACGTTTCTCTCTTAATTTCTTTTCTTTTTTTTTTTGACGTTTCGTTCTTTTTTTTTCTCCGCGTTTGCGTGTGCGTTGTGCGTTTGCGACTTATGTAGATGGGGCTTAAGGTCTTCGCGAGCCGTGCGAATAACGTGCGAAAAAGAAGATCGACATCCCCCCTTCGGCGCGAAGACGTGCCGCTCGTTTATGTAATCCACGCTCAATTTTCGTTTCCTCAGCGAAATTGAATCGGCCGAGATGTCGAGGCGACGAGTGATTTAAATGTCGGAATTAAAGACCTCGAATTGCGCTAACGCGGCGTTGATCGAAAGCGCCTCCTCGCGCGCGTCTGGCACGAGAAAACGTACCGAGCGCGAAATTATCGCCAGTCACTCGTGGTCGACTCTACAGCTGACTATACGAGCGCGTTCAACCGCGCGCCTCGCCGCGTCTCGAGACTGCGTGTCGTCGATGGTTACGCACGTCACGTTACAGCACGACTCGTATTTCACTCGTGCACGCGACGGCGCGGTGTTCATCGTCGCGATTTCCTCAACATATTCTTTCTTTGCGAAAGAACGAGAGAGGATGAATATAGGAGAGAGGGAGGGAGGGAGAGAGAGAAAACGCTTATTTTATTTCAATCAGCAGTTATACATTATTTGCGTGCTAATAGGCGTTCTTACAACCTGGATGACGCGCATAACTCGTTGAAGATCGTCCAAACCCGAAGGAACGCTACGATATTTTTAGTCTTTCAGCTTTCAGTTACCTTTCTTGAAAACGAGGCCTTGTTTGAAAAAATTTCTTCCGAAGAAGAGATTGATTGATTAAAACAGAGAATTAGCAGACAAAAACGTATTTTTAATTATTGTCGCAGGATAGGTAATTGAGAATGGATATTATTCATGTCTTAATTATATAATGCATCGGAATAATTTCGAGTAAACAAAATCTCATGTTTACGATGATCGCAACGGCCGCATGTATTTTACATGAATTTTCGCGCGAGATGTGTTTACGTGGGAAGAATAACAAGACCGAAGAAGAATAACGCTTTGCATCGACTCACGCTGAATGCGAAGTTGGCTCGCGTGATTTTCATTCGCGTGGTGCGCAGATAGTCCTTATCGACTAGCGTAAACAAAGCGAAGGTAACTGGGCGAGATATGAGAGGCCAGCGCGACGGCCATCGTTTTTTGCAGATGCCACCACTATTAGGGATCGCCTAGCTCAGCATTCAGTCGCGACTTTATTTACCGTTATTTACTCGTTGTTCGACCGTCGATTACTAAGCAGACGCGAAGAATAAAAAAGTACAAATCGGGGCGAGGCGCCCTCGCGAATTGACTGCACAGATCGTTAATTGTTGACGACGAACGAGGCCGATGACCGTGTCTACGCGGTCGCTATCTTAATCTATCGATGCACCCGGGAAACGAGCGCTCCAATACTTCCGAGAAATCCGTAGGGACACGCACAAAGAGAAATCGATGGTAAATGAATCGTAAAAAAATAAAAGAGTCTGATTTATTACAATAAATATAATCCGAAAGCTATGACGCGCCAATTTTAGGTTGCACATAGAGGCTCTATTGTGCTCCGATTACGCAATCGCCCTCGTATACCATTAAACGTCGTTGGTAATTTTTTACTCAATTGACACTCTGACGTCACGTCACTCGAATATAAAGAGAGAGAGAGAGAGAGAGAGAGAGAGAGAGAGAGAGAGAGAGAGAGAGAGCCTTGTTATAATTTGTCGCTTCCCTTAGAACGCTGCGCATTAAGAGCTTGGCCGAGGCACGTTATTTGACGACGCGATTCGGCAGGCATGCGTAAACGCGGCACGATGTAGAACGCGCACCGCGCGCGAGCCAAATGATATATTTTCAGTACGCGCGTCAGAACCGCACGCGTGTTTCTTCTCTGAAAAGCGCATTATCGCCGCCGCGATGAGACGCGAACGTACCCGGGTCACCGCGCCCGCCGCGCCGACACGATGTCTCCATCCGCAACCGAAGGTCGTTTGTCATACCGGTAAACCGATGCATAGAAATTATAATTCCTCCTTACCCCTCCCCCTTTCCACCGCTCAGCGTCGATCCTCATCGACGTAGATAAACGATCGTGTGATAAATGGAATGAATTTCCTTTTTAGCGCGAAAACGCAGTTGCCTGACGGTTCTCTCTTAAAAATAAAACGTAAGTAATCGTCATCAATTAGTTACCATCCACGATACCGTCATCAATTGGTTATCGTATACGATAAATAATTGTACGCTGTTACTTTAATTTTTTAGCCGCAGTGCCGTTAAAAGGTTTCCTTAAAATTAGCGGTGCAGGAATAAAAATGCAAAGCAACACCTTGCGTACGCTAATGCACGTTAATATATAATTTCTTCACATCCTTCCGTATCAATTTGCATAAAATAACAATATTGTAATTAATGGTAAGAAGCTCTGACTGATTAAAATGTCAGATGCTTCTACTCTTGCAAATATCTCGATTCTTATCGGATATATACGCAAAGTGCTCCACAACTTGCTTCACGACTTGCGATTATTATTTTAATAACGAATATCTCGAATTATATTATCGCAAAAATATTATGCGGACTTTAATATTCATCAAATATCAAAGTTTCTGCGTAATACATATTCGGCGAATTGTGGAATGTTGTACAGGATGATTCTAGCAATTTGAACAGGGAATATTTCTCTTGACAATTAAAATAGAGAGAAAAATGGAGAGGAAAATAAAGAGGAAGGATGACGAGATTAAACTTTCCATGACATTACTTTTTTCGCGCGAAGATATATATGCAATTGCACTTTCCCTTTAAATATATAGTTAAGTGCCTTTTTGCATTAATCGATTTTTCTTGACATTCCACGTGTAAATATTAAGGCAAGGTCATTAAAGAAAGAACACGTTTTACAATATTTCACGTTTCATATCGGAAAAACATACCACAGATAAAACAAGAATTGTCTCACAAGGTGTTCAGTTTTCTTACCGATGATCTTGCCTCAGCAACCACATTTACATCACAGAATGCCGAGGGGGATTGGACTTTTGGCAACATAAAACTACATATTCAAATTTCAAAGAAAGCACAAAAGACTGCAGGTGTATACATTGTTCCTCTTTAAAAGATTCACACATGTAAAAGGCATGTTTTCGTATTGCTGTAATTTCCGTTCGTTGCAAAATGATTAGGAGAAGGGAGATGAGCCGGAGCGAAGCGGTCGGAGTATTCGGAGTATCAAAAGAGCGACGCTCGTTTGCATCATGCGCGCGTGTCGTCAGCTTGGCCGAGTTTGCTGTCGGGTCAAACTCGTGCGCGCCACGAGCCAACCCACACCCACGTGCGTCGCGCTGCGCCGCGCCGCGCCGATTTCGTTGTGTATTATTTTCGGCGCGATGCCTAGCGTCGTGATTTTCCTAAAGGACCTCGGCGCGAGACGCGTGTAAATGTATACAATACGACGCGCGCGCGAATCTACGCGTCCACGTCTTCCGCCCACGTCCTCCGCCGCCGCCGCCGCCGCGGACGGAGGCGGCACACTTTTGCAATTCGTTAGCCTTCGGCGGATCCTTGGATTCGCGCGAGGCGCGTCGATTCGCGGCCTATTAGAGTCCGCTAAACGCCGCGATTATTAACGCACATTTATTATTATCGCTAAGTATCGACACGTAACCGGAATTCCACTCCGACACGAGGCGGTTATTGCTTCTTACGTAATTCGAGCGAACGTTTTACAAGCCGTTTAATCGGAGCAAAGTACTCATGCTTTAATATAGGGAGAAAATTTCATTATTGCATATATATCTCTTACCTTTGCAGTGCCAGCTTGATGTCAAAGGTGATGGTGGTGCCGGTGTCAACGTGGAAGATGTAGAGCATGTTGCGTGGATAGGCGCCTTACGGCGACACGACGAGAGTAGAAACTGCTAAAATAGCCCCGGTATATCCGTCCACGGATCCCTCCCTCCACCGTGGGCCCTATTAGCAGCAGGACTGGCCCTCGGTTCGGACGGTTTCCCTTAGTCAGCTCGATCGGGGCCGTACCCCACGTTCTCGATCGTTCGCGAGGACGGCCCCCTCAAGACTATGCCGCATCGATCAACGCGAGCCTCGCCGTCGATCTTGAGATAAAGCCTCTGACAATCGCGCCGCGTTGCAGAGTATCATCCAGATACCCCTCTCTCTCGCGCGCGAGAGCCGGATCGGTTGGAAGCGTTGGGCGGGGGAATTTCGATTCCCGATCGTCGAAAGAGAAACTTCGAATCGTCAATGTCTTTGAGTAGCGTCGTTTCCTTTGTTCCTCGCCGCGGCTAGCGAGGAAAGTCACTCAGGAGCGGGGGAGGGGAGCCAAACAACACAGCGGGACGGCCGGGACGTCGCTCCTCGTGCGGCGACCGAGAGCGTTCAATCCGCTCGAAAATTTTGCTCCCGCTTATTGTGAGGGACGACGAGTAACGCCGCGGTCAATCGCGCCGTCTCTCTCTCTCGTGACTTATGTCATAATCTCTCCAGTGATGCAGCTTCCGACGTACATACGGCTCACGTCATTGAGTTGATTCCAGCGAGCGCGTTCAGGACTTGCACTTAACCAACCGCCCGCGCCGGGGATTTAAACATCACAGTCCGTTTCGTTGGAATTTTCTGCGCGGAACTCTCGGGGATTTGTATCCGTATCGCCACTGCTATTCCCCCCCTCTTCCACGAAGAAGAGCGTCCGATCGCTAAAATCGATTTAGTTACTCACGACACCCTTGCGTTGTGCTACGTCAGACTTGACGAAAATCCGTCCTGGCAACACGAAGCGTCGGCGATCGATTCGGTAACGGGGCCAATCGACGCTGCTCCGACTTACCGCTACGGTTCCCGACCGTATCGACGTCGGAAGGTTGAGATCTGCCGAGGAAGGCGCGCCTCGTCGAGGATGGACGCGCTTATCCCGGGGCTCTTCCGGGTCCCCGTAGTCGACGCGCGCGAGGCGAGAGCGCGGCCGATTCGCGCTGGCGCGCCGCAGATAAACGCGAACGCGTGTGTCGCACGTACGTCCGTCCGTCGTGAGCGTAGCTGCCCCGTCGCGTCGGATCAGCTGCTCGGCAAAACAAAGCACTCGCGCGCCGCGTTACGCCACCGCGTCCGCCGCCGCCGCGCTCTCTCGCTCTCCGTCGCTCTCTCGTTCGCTCGCTTCTCGATTCGAGCGACACCGCCGTTCATTCGGCGACGGGGTCACGACGATCCGTGTGCCCGTTTGTCACTGGATTGTCCCCCTGGAGTGACCGCGCGATTCTATCCGGGACGACGCCGTCGTCGAGCTGTCCCCGGCCCGTCTCGCGTGATGGGGGTCGACAGGAGAGCAGCACCCCGATCCAACCGCGCGACACAACACAAACAATGCTGCGCCGTGCACACTGTCAGTCTATGCGCAGAGCAGTCGCGCCGAACAAAGAGCCTCCGCTTTCCCCGCTGCTTTTCCACGACGACGCTGCTCCGCTCGGCTTTCCTCGTCGACGAAACAGTCGGTGCGGGATTTATTCTGCGTCGGAGCGATTACCCGACGACGAAAGCCCGTCTTGGACAGCGGCCGAGAAATGCGTCGGTCGGGGATCTCTCGCCTGGATATAATTGGATGGAAGGGAAAAGGGGAGGGGGACGACGGGCGGACCTGCTCCGCACGGTCCCGTTCTACGTATCGTACTGACGCGAAGCGTCGCCAGCTGTTTACTGTCGCCGCCGACCGCGGCCGAGAGCGCTCTGCGCCGAGCACGGCGGACAGAACGTCCGAGGCACGGTGGTGGGAGAAGCGATTCCAGTCGTCGCCGTTGCGCGACCCGCGGCGCTGAGCGACGCGCGTCCAGTGGCGAACGCGATCCCGAGCTCCTGTGTCCATTGTGCCTTTATTTATCATCTATATTCTATAACTTCGATCAAGTTCAATCAGCGATTAATTCGACCGCCAAAATTGCTGGTAGTAACATTTCTAACTATATAATCTGTTCCTAATTTTTCTTCTAAACGAAAGTAAATTAATTACCCTCTCCACGTTGACGAAATACCGCAGGCATCGTTCATGCAAATTTATCATCGATTAAATTAATGAGAGTTTGGCCGAAGTCAATGACCGCCGGCGATGTACGTCCCGAGTTCCTAAGACGAAAATACATAACAAAAAGAATTGGTATTTTTAACTGCGAATGAAAATAAAAATATTATAATCTCTATCTTAATCTAATTAGTGTATATAAGAAAAAAAATTCTATGATTAGAAAAAAATAAGGATTCACAATGAAAGAGAAGTCGGGGCGAAATAAAATCCTTAACACTTAAATTCTTATAAAAATGATTTTGTAAACATCACAGTCACGTCGGAAATATTATCGTAACGGAGAATCGGTCTTTCGGTTCTAATTATATAATAATAATACTCGTTAAATGTATCTCTAACGTTATGCAGAACCGTTGAACGTTATACGGAACCATCACTTAAGTTGAACCGTTATTAGGCATACACCTAAATACACCTAGATAATTCATGTAGCATGAGACCCAAGTTAAACGTGGCCGGGTCGGTCCTGTAAATTGGCGATCACGCTCGTGACGTCATCTAGCGCATGCGCCGTTCCCCCTGTTGTGAGAATATTGTTTTACGTCTGACCTAGTGCGTCGATGCCAGCTAATTAAACAGCGGATTCGGATAGCAAATATGTTTTTGTCCATAATAATTTGTTTTTATGCATTTGTATATGCGTCACAGTTGATACCAGGTAATCAGAGATAATCTATTATACGAATCACGACCGTCGCGCGATATTTACGATTTGTTGTCATCGCGTTTATAGGTTTGAAAACGCGCAATTCCACGCACGTTGTTTGTTATGCGTGTCGCGATCTTTCATCTCGAAAATCGTAGAGCTCCAAGCATTTCTCAATCCCTACCGTAAATAATAATTGAGCAATCAAATTTATCTGATGTGAAACCTAAGTCGCAATAAGTTTTAAAATTCGAGGTTAAGGGATCCCTTTGTCCTCGCATCTACATGCGCATTATTTTTATATGTGTGATATTCTTCTCTCCCATGTTCAACCATAAAAAATGCAACGCGATTGTCTTTCAAACAAACTGCCTCGACCGCTAGCAGCGGCTATTTTGGAAAAACAATCTGTTTTTCTCCGCGGTTCTCATTCACGCAAGGGCTCGCAAGGTCAAAGCTCCGTTCGATCAGGCACAAAGGCTCGGTAGCGCCAAATCCGAGCCTCCTGAATACGATTCGGTCGGGAGGAGAATATCGCTATTTCGCTCATTCTCCTTAATATTAAAGTCGCGTAGCGCGTAGCAACGCGCGACGCACGACGATTCGATGCCCGAGCCGACGTTGCTGCTATACAGCTGTTCGATCCTACGGTACGAGGCGCTTGCGCGACCTCGGGACGCGGCCGTCCGTGCCTCTTCTTCCCGCCGCGCGTGCAGTCGCCCGACAACAAAGCGTATTCCGAGGCACGCGATGAATGGGAGATACGGACGAAACTTTCGAGCAAGCACGAGCAGCGGCGACTCCGCGTCGTGTTTGTTTACCCTTCGCTACGCGATCGATATATCCACACTTCCTGCATCCGCTCAGAAATATACTCGCTTTCTCTCTCTCTCTCTCTCTCTCTCTCTCTCTCTCTCTCTCTCTCTCCCCTTTCTTTCCTTTTCTTCGAGTTCGCACAGAGATTACAGACGCGAGGAAAACACCTCGGTCCGAGAATATCATTATTTCTGAAAATAACGCGTCACCCGTAATCGCTCGCGCATCCACGAGCGAGGTTCGACGACTCGTCTCTGTAAGTCAGAGGTGAGATCGCCGAGCGATGCTGTAAGCGTTTAAGCGAGAGCAGATTTAGCAACATCTCCGATGCGAGGTAGGCAAAAAGCGGTATATATGATGTGGTATGCAAGAGGCATACGCAGACCGAGGTAACACTTTCGATTCGCCGAACGACGCAATTTGCGAGAAACGGGAGCGTTTGCGTTTTACCGTATTATTTTTTTTATGATAAGAAAAACGTCCGCCTCGCGATCGCGCGTATTTTTTTAAGATACTTTTGGATCAAGTTATCATGAATTAGAGAGATCTGACGCGTGAACTTTCTTTTTATCTCGAGCTGTATAAAGTCCAATTATTTATATAAAATCGCGTGCCCGCGAAGGTCTTCTCCTTTTTGCTAGACGCCGAGTCAAGGACAATCGAGAGTAAAAGTGAGGCATCTCGACCCGGTCGACATCTTGTTCGCCAATCCGGCTAGAATTCGGCGATCGCGACGCAATTGACGGCGTCGAACGATTCCACGGATAATTAGAATACAATGCCTAGACATGCTGAATTTTAATTCGAATGCGTAAGCGCGACATACTGCGTCGCGAATAGTTCCGACGCAGTAAAGGCCGTTCTTGGCGTCGTAATTGCACGTGCACGTGGCAGTTGATAAGGATGTCGGCTCGTGCTAAATGTGACGTACCGGGGAGCTGTAAGTATACGTAATAATGTGCAATCATACGCCTCGTAGACGAGAGAAAGAGAGGATGATTTCTTTGCGGATGATATAAATTCTCGCATCTCTCTTGAGAAAGTAGAATGTGTACCCTGAGTCCCTAAAAATGCAAAAGTGATTTATCAATTCGTAAATACGGATATGCTATCGTATTATAGACGTCGTCGCGTATCTGTAGGAATATTTTGAAATGATTTTCCGACGCAAAAATGCGTAGATTTCGATGTTGAAGACAATAACTCAATATGATCAATGATGCAATATTGCGCGGCAAGAATCGCCAATACTTGACGTTTTGATAAAATAATGAATCATACTTGTCAGGTACACACACGCCGCGACGCGTCTTTCGCAGTATCGCTTGATCGGCACGTGGCCGTGATCAGTTTAAACTTTCCAGAATGCGCGTCACTCGCGTTATCTTATTGGTTTTTACGTCAAGCCAGGTAGATAGGCGACCGTGGCAAAGTCGCGAATTTAATTTAGCGTAAATGAATTAAGTGTGACAATGAGAACCTCCCCCCCTTCCCCCTCAGAGACCGCATACCGATTTCAATCAATTCGCCCTCGGATGAGACCGCGGGGTCATCGTCGATCATCAATGATTCTTTTCCTGATTCTTTTCCCCTCGTAGAAATACACTTGCGGAAGCGATCAAGTTTGCCACACGAATGGATTTCAATAAATTTCCGCGTACGAGAAAGATTGAGCAAATATCGAAGCTTTTAATCTTTTTTTTTTTTTTTATCATATCTGGATAGCTCGCCCACGTATCTCATGCATTCGTGATATATTCGAATTCATTTCCTTAGTTTCGCCAGGCCTAGAAACAGTGCATTTAATTGGTGCGTGATCTCACGGCTCTCGTGAACGCAAAGAATCGGCGTGTTTCGTCATCCCCGCGATGAATCTTTGAGATCGCGCGATTGATAACGCGTTCGATGGAAACTCTCGCGTGTAATAAATATCAACGTTCGTGATGTAATCAGATGCCCAATTTACAAGATATACAGATGAGATATATAGAGATTGATAAAAGAGATATATGTGTATGCTCCCCAAAATCTGTCATTCTCCTAAACGATAAACAAAACGTGCGCAATAACGAATGTTTGCATAGGCACAGCAATAAAAAGAAAGAAGGAAAGGCTTGTTCCAAGAACCAACAGTTACTTCAAGGGTCTGTTGGATTAGTTGAGCTTAAATATTTATTTTGACAAGAACTGAAAACTTGATGATAAAATGAGTACAATAAGTAAAATAAGAACAACTGCGTGCGATCAGAGAAGGATAAAGAAAAAATAATAACTCTAATTCTTAATTAACAGTTCCTTCTATATTTTTCTTTTGTTCGATCACAAATTCAGAGAAAACTCTGAATAACAGTTTTCAATCTGTTAATATTAATTCTTGTATTTATTCTTTCTCGCGGCTTTAAAATATAAATGTTTACACTTTTTCTATCTCATGATACATTTTTATCAGAATAGTTACGAGATTTTTGTATACGTAGCTATCTCAATGTCTTTAAAATTCTCAGGGAAATGTTCGGATTGTACCACGCTCCTTTCCCCTCTCATGCTGCGGTAAATTCTCCGAATACAATGAATACTCGGAAGACAGACAAGAACACGTTCGTGCCTGTTTGAACCTGCATCGGTCGGGTTGTAGCACCCACACACGCACACACATACACAAGCACATCCCAAATCCGTTTAGATTCCCATAACATATGTCACAAAAAAATAAAATATATAAACGCAAAGTAACGCAATAATTATAATAGAAAAAACATCACTATACTTGCGCTTTTTTCAATGTTCTTATCAATGTTCTTTGATACATATTTTTAAATATATATTTACATTTGATTACTTTTCTTAAGAGGAAATAATTATTTTCGCGTCGGTGATATACTGTCGAGAGATTTTCTATTTGAGTTGGAAACTCGGAACCAAAAGTAACAATTTTGGAGCGCGTTTAATAATATTATTCCAAATAATTCGGATGTACTTATTCTCGGATTAATAATACAGCATGGAATAGAAAGATCGTGGAACGGCCAAAGACAAGGAAATCGCGAGCGTGCGAAACGTGCGCGCGGAGAAGTCGCGTGATTAATTCGCTCGTCGGGAGAAAGGACTATCGAGAGTAACGGTGCGGGAGGAGACGAAGAGAGGAGAGGAGAGGAGAGGAAAGGAGGAGCGAGAGAGCGTTTCTGCGTCTCTCCGCGCTCTGCTGTTAGAAATGAAAGCAGCTCTCGGGAACGAAACGGTCCGGTGCGATCGCGATACATACGAGGTTTCCTTTAGAGTTTAGCTCTATCTTCTTCCCTCCCTCTCCTCGGACGAAGGTCTCAGCTCACAGCTCGTCAGCTCGGTTCAGCTGTGCGCGCGAATCGCCGGAGAGTGGCGGAGAGCCATGCGGGAGGTGCGTGGACAGAGCGAGGTCAGCTCACGCACGTGCACATCGTGCGTGTGGCACTCATATTATATATATATATACGTATACATATATGCTCTCAACCCGTTCGATCATTGGCGTATAACGCGGTATTGCGTCCAGAAGAGAACCAACTCGGGAATATGCAATTTCTCAGAAACAGCCGTTTTGAAAGGGGGTTTGATTACGAGACGAAACTCCAAATAATCGAGCTAGAGACGTTAATTCTCTGACGGTGATGTTTGACGCGCGATAATTGATTTTCGATTCTATCGCGCGTAACACGATATCTCCAGCAAGCTGATATTCCAGCAAACACCAGATCTAATAAGAGTCCAGAAATGGATGCAATCGATTCCTCTTCTACATAACTGCGTGCAACGCAACAGATAGTGAATTATCGTATTCACAGTTGAATTTTTTTATACATTTTTATACTAAACGAGATAAGTATTTTCTACTCTGTATTCTTTAGGCTGAAAATAGGTTTGGTAAAAAGTCGAGCGTGGTCGCCTCTCTCGCGTGGTGTTTCCTCGAGACGAGATACCGACGCGATCGATATATACCGCGGTTAATGACCCAGAAAATGCCCGGATTATTTTACAATGCAAGGCGCTGTTATACGAACGCGAAACGACGCGAATCAATAGATAATGTCTTTATTGCCGTGGTAGTGCGACTGTGTGTGTGTGTGTGTGTGTATGCGAGAGAGAGAGAATAGGACGGCCTAACTTGCTACACCTTGACCGTATTAACATTTATCATGAATACGTCTTTTTTTATTGCCAGCTTTTCTTCCCCTATTTTTTCTACTATCCGCCTCTGTGTTACGCCGTTGCTACGTAACGTTATAAGTGAAATCCTATTCTTGTTTGGGTTATTGACCGCGCCTTTTATCATTCGTCTGCGTGGTGCCGGTGCGGTGCGCGGTATTTTGGATCTCTTTTCACCGCGGCGACCGTACAGAATAGCGGAAAAAGAATCAGGGGAGATATAGGAGATAAGGAGTGTCGCATATACATAGTGCGTCGCACGCGCGTATAGTACATTGCGCCCGACCCCACTTTCCAGTTTGTGTTTCCCCGAATCGCGATTACAATTTGATAAGATCCGAATTACGTTCCTAAACGGCCTCTCGGATAAATATTTGAGAAGCGGCGCGAACAGTTGCGATGATTATCTTGGGCGACCTCAATTCTCAAATCGTGTGCGCATTTAAGACGAGATACGAGGCTATGGCTGTGAATCCCGTCTGTGCTTAGTCGGGTCGGACAAAAAATTGAACAAGACTTAAAACAAATTAAAAAATCGAATAAACTCTATCGGTCGCGTGTTTTTTGCTGTTCAGAGAGATACGTGTTTTTCGTCTTTTAATTTACATTCATTGTCAGTTGAATATAAATGGCAATTAATTATTTTTATATATAAGTATTTTTGGAAGGCAATAATCAAAATTGATCATAAATTCCGAAACGATTGGAATTTAAAAATAAAAACGGCAGTTAATAAAACTCTCTTTTACATATAAAAGCAATATTATTTCGCTTGTCGGTTGTAGACTAATAAATCCTAGACCGAACGATCGTGCTGCGTAAATGAGAGAGGGTAAACGAAGATGGCCTAAAATTAGAAGTCTATATATGTTACATAGGCACCTTAGCTAAAACGATGTCGTGAGTTAAGGACGAATCTACCTCCTCCAATCGTGTCTCGTCGCAATCGTTGCACTCATTAGTTGATAACGACTGCAGCACCTGTTCTTCTTGTTCAGTGGTTAAAATTAGAGTAGATTGCATTTCGGCATTATCACCTGTTTGCCGGGCATACGTCATGATAAAGCGGCCGACCTGTCGAATGACTGATTTCCCGAATCGCAAATACGAGGTTGCAGATATCGCTCGAGGCCGACTTCCTTCAGCCAGTTCGGCTTTCGAGCCGATCCAACTGCAAAAATAGATCACCGTTGTTTTTTTTACTAACAATAAATTTTAAGAATTTCGGAAATATAATCAGTTTTACAATTATATGTATTATTGACGCCTAAACATCATATAAGAATTAATGGTCACTCATGTTTATTCAGTTGCTTTCGAAAGATGAAAGCGTGCGTTTCTTTGAATAGCAGGTATAGGTATAGAAACCGCAGTCGACGCAAAAAGTTCATTTGAAAGAGATTCAGTTTTCAGTCTACGCATTCTTCTGTTCGGCCTGACTGTAAGCCTTTAAACATAAACGGAATTTTCGATATATATCCAACACAATTATCACGAGTTCTAATTACCTTTTTTCCCACGATTTAAATCCTTCTCAATGACGAGCTGCATTAAGCAGAAATATCAGTGATAACGCTCGCAATCGATACAAAGGCTACTCATTGAAACTATTTTTCGCTCGACAAACGGTCACGTTTCGCCTGATATGTACAATACTCATTGACTCGAATGACGTTGACACCGGTAATAGACGGTGCGTATCACAGACGCAGTCTCGCTCGATGTGTGACGCAACGGCACTGATCGCGCAAAAAGCGACGTGGCGTGTGGCGTGTTCACGCAGTGGAAGGATGCACCGCCGATTTACTTTCAACTTTGCCGTGTCGATCCTCGTGACTTAACTTGATTTTAACCGGCGCGGCGCGGAGAACGTTTCCGCTTTCGAGGCCGCTCCCTGAGACGTCTCGACGTCAATGTGTGAATTCAAGCCATGTGTGCAGCGAATTCCTCGTAATTCTCCGGAAGCCAGTCGTTTTCCCAACCGAGAAAAATTACGTTGTTATCTCTGTAAAGCATTTTTAATTCCAGCATATTATTTACTTGCCGACAACATAATGACATTTATGACTGCGGAATATTCCCTGAAAATTACAATGATCTGTTTACGATCTCTGAGACTGACTTTGGCAACTACGCAGATGCGAAGTTCTCGGTTTGTCGATTTGTAAACATGCGCACCGTGTACGTGCGAGAAAACATTTACTTTAACGAACGCGATTAGCACACTCTGCATGTTTACCGCGTAAATCATCGTTCGATTTCGTTGCGATTTTCACCCGTGCCGTTCGGAAAGAAAGTGTATGTAGCGTGCATACGTTTACATGTGTGTGTCATATGTATAGGAATAATGGAAAGTACCACCCTGTGTGTACGTACTCTCGATCGTTTGGTTACACGATAAATTCTCATGTCACTGCGGCAATTAAGTCGTCGATCTCGTTTGCGTTCTTTTGCTTTCGCGACGTGGACGATAACCATCCGGCGGACATAGAGCGAAATGAGAAGTATTGTGATATCAATTACCAGAGTCGTTTATCTGTTATGATACAAGTTTATTGAATCACTGCTTGCGCAAATTAACAATGGCAATGGGCCTCAGGTTCCAGTGTCGCATATTTTTCAAAATACCAAAAATTTCTCCCACGTTCATATTTTAATTGTTTTAAACATTCGTACTTTTTTTTCGACAGGATGGTGATATGGAGATAATATAACAATAATAATGATAATAATCCAAATAATAATATAATAGTAATAATTATAATAATATACAATAACGGGATATGCGCGCTACCTGCGATAATAGTCAAGAGATATAACAAGTGAAATATACATATGCTCTTACGTATATGTATATATATACGTGATCATAATATGTACATATTATGACATCGCATCGTACATCGCGAAAACAATTTCCCCATTCGATAAATAAAACAATACGAATCGCGTAAATTTCCTTTGATTAAATGATATGGCTTGTTCGGTGACGAAAATTACCTCCCGCCTCGCCCTGTTCTCTCTTTCCCGACTCCAGTCCCCTCTTGTTCCCGATGAATGTTTCCTCCCAACGTTATTCAATATCAAATCTTTTCTAGTTTCTCTCCGATAACTAACTAATAAATTTTATATGTATAGTAGCAATATATATACAATGCATGACCCGCAAAACGGCGAATGTGCGTAATAGGTATAGTATCTATGCGAATGCACCTCGTACATACACACCACACATACATATACACACATACACACACGTACGCACACACACATACACACACACAAAACTTTCGGACCTTCTTCTAAGCTGGAACATTCAACTTATTTCGTGCCGACGCGACCTTCTTCCGGTTTTTTCTTCTATATGACCCTGTCCTTTTTAAGTATGCCAGCCGGCTTTACGTTTGACATTTCTATTCGATACTTCTCTCAGTTTACCGTTTTCTCTTATCATAGACTATAATATTGGAGAAATTCTTTAACATTGAATCAATCACGTTACTGTCAGGCACAAACGTGTATCGCGAGATAGATGCCAGACGTAAACCCCAGCATTACGAATTTGACAATCCTGGTAAATCCTGGGTTCGTTCGACTTGCCCAGCGAAACTTGGCGGACAAGAATAATTTTTCTCTTTTGTGCTTTTCGCAGCTTCAGTATGGATAGCGTCAAAATATCGTTCCGTTGCATCTCGATCGAATGCTTCATATTTCAACTTCGTGCTCGCGCTTGAACAAAGACTTTCGGATTTCGGGGCACAATTTGAACGCGAGTGCATACGTCGCCGATCAAATTTACCCTCGCGGAAGTACACTGGCTACGTCATTGGCACTGTCAAAAGCAGAGGAATAAGAGAGAAGCTTAGTTTCGCTATGAACAAGAGCGAGATCCTTCGAGTTAAAAGACGATCTCGACTTTCGGTGATCCTCTCGCTTTCCGGCCAAATTCGGCATCCGAGAGCGCGCGAGAACGGTTGTCGCGTGTAGTGTGAACAAAGTCTGCAAAGTCTTGCAATCGCAATCGGCGTATTACACGATTATTTACAAATTTACCTAGAGATATACAAGCTATGCCCTCGAGGCTAGAAAAAATACGGTCGCTCGAGCGCAGGAAGGCCGATCGTCGATCCATCGTGGGAGAGGGAATGCGAGAGATAACTCTCGCGATTTGTGCGCGTTTTCGCGAAATTACGAGATAAACTTCGGCGAGTCGCCGATATATCGATGGATCAAAGAGCGTTTTGATACTAGTTTTACGTCTCGAATAGTCACGGGATAATCGTCTTCTTCCGCGAGAGACGTCCTCGAGATCTCGTCGAAAGTCATGTGTGCTTAATCTGCTTCTAATTTCGACGCTCGACAGACATTCGTCGATAAGAGCCCGCTGATGTTTATATGTACAGAATACACGTTGCGATTTTGCGTCGTCTCGGTGAACGATGTTATCGCGATCGCGTGCGACGCGATTGTTACGCTATGAGTCATCCGGGTTTTCAGCGCTAATATTTTTCTTAGACGTAGAATGTAAAGCGTAATTCAGGGAAAACAATGTCAAGTCTTCGCGTCAATAAATAACAAGCGTATCGACCTTCGATCTCTTATCCGAAAGCTAATTTATATTCGTAGCCGAAACGTTTCTCTCAACTTGTTCGCAAATTCACATCCGAATTGACACATTTCGCTATCCGAGAAACTCCATAATCTAAACGGAACACGATTCGATGGATTCAGATCTCATCGATAGTCAACCGTGGTAATTGTAACTATAATCCCGCAGAGCTCGTAAAAATTCGAGGACTGTGAGAACTTTCTATGTCTCTCTCTTTCTCTCTCTTCTGTTTATAGTAAACTTACGACTTACAAATTTACCGCAATCGTTGTGGAACGCTATAAATGCTCGGATGCGCGTTAATGAATCTACGTCGCGCGCGTCAGCATCACGGCTACAATTACGATCATTGCTAAGTAACAATTAATCGCTACCTTTAGGGGAATAGCCGTAATTATGATTCGGATAATTCGACCTTGAATACCGCTTTGAATCCAACAGCGTTAGCTTTAATTAGGGAGAATTTGCACCTTGACGGAAAATCCGAAAACAGAACAGTGCAGATCTGTCAATCAGAAGTTGCACTTAGCTATCAAGTGCTACACTTGTTAGTACTTAGTAATTAAGTGCAACTTAAGTTATCAATTGATTGGCTTCTGCTTTTCTGTTTTCTGTTTTTCTGTCAAGGTATAAATTCTCCCTTAAAAGTGCTCGCGGCAAGCGGCGCTGACTCGTCGTTCAAAAATCAATCGTGTACATAGAATTCGATCGTCGCTATTATACTTGCTGCGCTCGAGCCGATCGTCAGAAAAGAGAAAATTATGACTAGAGAAGAAGATTCGTATGTCGAATACGATCGATCGGCGGCCCGCCCGAAAGAGGGCTCGATCTACTCTTACAAGTAGCGTTATTAAAGTATTTGGTGTAAAAATAGGTATGATACAGGCGTTGAGAGTGCGCAGCACGCGCCTCCCATTTCCAAAAGACGTGTCGATGTCTCCCTCTCGCGCAAACGACAAACTGTGCGCCCAGGAGTTTCATCGTTTTTTTTTTCTTCAAAAATTGTCCAATAAATATTAGTCTGTCAATTAAAAAGGATCTCAGCGACAAATCTCTAAAACGCTTTGTCAGAAAAAATTTTGTCATGGACAGGTCATTAGAACCTGTTTCTGGAGTGCGAAAAACCTTCGAGAATGCAATCGTCATCTAAACTCTTTTAAACTACTATGCTCTTCTGTACCGTTGCTCTTTCCTTTTTCTTTCCTTTTATAACGCTTAAGTCCCTTTTAATTTACAATATTCAAAAGCGAATCCGTTGTAAGTCTCGGAGAGACGTTCCCATCTCGCTGCTTCCTCTTTTCACTCGACTACTTAGATTTTCGCGATCGCACGAAATTCGATTACGGTCGCTTTCGCGCGACAAAATCTCCGCTAGGACTGATCCTCTTTGGGCTCCCTTTTCGCTTCGGTCTCGATTCACAAATATTCCCCCTCGTAGCGTAGCGCCCGCGGCGCGTAAGACCGAGTGCATCGCTCGTGAAAGCCGTTCCCGGCGATTCTTGGTGCGGCCACATTGCCGTTTTTTTTTTCTTCGAAATTCTGGCTCGGTGACGACCCAATTCGTCGCGGTGCCACCGGGTCTCAGGTCACGTCCACGTTCACGAGTCCGTGAACCCGATCGTCGGCTGGCTGCTACGTCAGCAGCTTGAAGAACATCAAAGCTAGAGATATGTTGATGAAGAGCACCAGCATCACGAGCTGCTGGCGGGAGAACCAGTCCTGGAAACAATACGAGAACATTATGAGTTAAGCGTTTTTCTTAAACGCGAGCCGCTGCTCGGAATCGAAGCCAAGAATTCGGCGAGGACGCCGAATGATTCATATCGATGTTACATGAGTAAAATTGTCTTCGCACGCGTAACGTAACGCAGCCGTCGCTGTGTTGTTTCCCTTATACTTTTTGTTCTTTTAAACTCGGATATTTCGATTTTCGTTATCGTTCTGTCGCATGCACAATTTCATTCGATCTCCTCACGACCGGGAAACTGGACCGAGCGGATGCTGAATTATAGAACCGCGCGAGAACCTATTATAGAATCGTCACGCGTTTCTCGCGATGCGTTATATTTTTGCGTACCAAGCCGAGAGACGCAGGACTCGATCCGAAATAAACCGTAACACTCTGCCAAGTGTCGCTCAGTGTTCTCTCTTGTTTTTATGAACGACCGGCGAGGATTGACGCCGCCGCCGCCGCCGCTGCCGCGCCATTGTCAACAATGTCAACATCGACAAGTTTTCGACGGTCAGGTACAGAGACGGAGAGGATACTCACTTTAACCTGCGGACTGACCAAATATAAAAGCGGGTTTGCCCTGAGCCTCTCGCTCTCGTCGATTTGCCTGCGAATCTCCTCTCTCCTCATGCTGCTCAGAATACTGACTTCTTCCCTCGACAATGGTGCGGTGGCCGTGAGCTGGATCGGCTGCGCCACGTCCGGCAGTGACTTCTTTCGTTGAAGGGGCATTGCCGCCACCGGCATCGCCTGCACGAAGGAAATAAACGAGAAACAAAAAGAGAGAGATGCAGGGCCTCGAGAGCGACGGTGCGAATTACTTATCGATTTACTAATACACTGTATGCCTATATGGCGTACAACAACATGGGTATACAGCGGAAAGAGAAAAACGGAGTTATTGTCAGGCAATAGTAATTATAATACTTCGAGTGTACTTCTTACAGGGAATAGTTAGGTTAAATTAATAACTAGGTGAGGTTACATGTCGGTTAATTTAATTAAACATCTGATTTTAATAAAGTCCAACGTTTGAGGATCGGTTTCGTGAACACGCAACGTGCAAGGATTTATTGACGTATAATTTCAAATTACTCTTTTGTAATCGTCGAGATATTAATTTTTAGCTCTTAAAATCATGTTTTCAAGTATATTGTCGATATCTACAAAATTGGTGGAAATTAAAAGCATTTGATAAGAAAGCCAAGCAAACTAAGCGAAAACCTATCTGATGTATTTGAAGAATTCATTTATAAAAATTTTTGTCTTTTAAATTCGTAAAAATTGCTTATTTTTCCGCTTTATGGATGAGACAACTCTCTTAAGTGAAATTGCACTCTATTCTACCCAAGATTATTAACCTTTTTAACTTGTTTCCATTGTACTTTTTAAAGCTTTTGTTTTATATCAGAGAGCTGTACACATAAACGAGCATCTCTCTTGTTCGAATTTCTGTTTGCTCGTTCGCGTGACGTCAAAAGTTAGACGGCTCTGTTTTATATCGCTCTGTGAAGCTACCATTGAATTTTCAACCATTGACTATCGAGACAATTGAGATTTTTTTATTCAGTCTTCTCTCTCTGCGTGCAGTCAACCACAGTTATGGTTGCAGAATTATATAATAACAATTCGTTAAAGGATTAAACCTTCGGTCTCAAGTTCTGTCGTCCTAGCAGCATTTTTCACGAAACCGATTCAGAATTGGCTTGTGTTAGAACGTCGAATGCCCGTAATTACGTGTTTTGTTAATTCAGCATTTCATGCGAACGCAACGGATGGCGAGGAGAAAGATAGAGTACGAGCGGAAGGGACGGTCTTTGGAGCCGTTCCAAACCGAAGAGAGACGATGTTTTTCGAGCACCGTGGTGCAAGGGCCGAGGGGTCTAATCCCAGCCAAAACGACTTGTCGCATCGACCTTCACATTCTTATCGCACGACTAGATAAACTGAAACTAGGTAAACTAAACTTCTAAAAAACCGTAGGGAAAAAGTATATATTATATCCTTTGCAAATGAGATTTCGGATTAAAAAAAATATAAAAAATAATTTTAATTACGATCGAAAATTTTTACCTTTATACAAAGATTCATTCGTATCGCTGTTACAAGAAAATTCCGCACGCGTCGCGTGATATTCTACAAACGCATGGTATGCGGCGAGTTACCCGATGAATTCGCTAAATATAATATTGCATAATTGTGTACATTCCATTTCTCGTCGCAGTAATGTATGCATATAGAATATTACAAAAGGAATCATTTATTTATTGTAGAGATTTAGTGTTAAAAAGAAACATATTGAACTGATTTAAAAAGTATGATCAAAATCTGACAATTTTGTCAGAAATAGAAATCATTTTTTTATTAATACATGTAATTTACTTGCATTTTTGCATTTTGCATTCATAAAATTGTGCGTAAATCAGTTCTAAATAAATTTTACACAGTTTATAATCTGCTCTCTAATTCTTTAATCTTATTTTTTTCTAACACCTTATATAAGTCATGCATATTAAATCGCGGCATTGCAAAGAGCCTCCTGTCTCGCGTCTTGAATACTTTCGCATATCGCGCGTCCTTATCTGTTACGTGCGATCTTCTTAAATAAGGCCACGCGTATATTTTCCTATTCGCCATATTTGTGCAATCTATCGTATTGTATTTGCTGACTCTTCGTTTATTACGACGCGTTCTATTCGCAAACCCTCCACACCCTTCCGCACTCCGTCGAGCGTGCGTTGTCGCTAGGCACAGCTGATTCCACCCCTAACGACCGCGCGAGCAAACAGCGTTTCTCCCCCCCCCCCGTTCGTTATCTATTGCGCTGTTTTTTTGCCCCTCCCTCCCTCTTCGGGAAAACTCTCGCTACATCCCACCCTGAACTTTCACGCGTTGCCTAGCTGGTTGTTGTTAGAACGTCGGAACGTGGGCTCGCCCCGCGTACCTCCACGGGAGGTGCGACGATCCAGGACTCCGAGGCCCGCCTGGCCATCAGAGCGGGGCTGCATAGCAACGCCTCCTCCTCCTCGTCCGGCTCGATCCAAAACATCTCTGTTTCTCACGATGACTCGCGGGCACCCTCAGAATAACATTAAAGTCTCTCGGGTTCTTAACCACCTGCGAAGAACAGGATCCCGTTCGCTTGGCTCAATTTCTTTAACTTTTTCTAAATTGCACTTTCATTCCGTATGCGATGTATCTGCCGATTTAATCAATTTTTTTTTAATTTGTGGCGAACTTACAGCTCGCGTCGTTGAACATGCGGCGTTGATACATACAATTTTTTTCGATTTCCGGACTTCCGATTATCGTTCGGTATTATTTACAAGCGAAACCAGATCCGTGCCAGGCCGTGACTAAAGCTTACGGTTAATTATTTAAATTGTCATTAGATTGTCACTTTTTGTACGTCGATGTGAAACCAAGCGAACATCGATATGACACTGTTCTCTTCGAATCCACGTCAAGTCTCGGAAGCAATAATCGTAGCCAGCTGGCGCTTCCGTTCACACCGGGCTTTCTCTGTCCCTTTCTCTCTTTCTCGACCGAAAGTGCCTTCTGAAACTGCGCGAGCGTCCGTTCGCATTCGAGGATGAAACCCGTTCGCTTATCTCTCGGCCATTTTTCGACAATTTTCGGGGCGCGAAAGGGGGCGAATCGAAGTGTGAATTGCGGATTCGCAGCCTCCCGGTAAGGAAGCCGGGCCGCAGACTGAACGGCCCTGGCTAGCACGACCAAAATAGAGCGATGCCCCACTATCTTCGAAATAACTTCGCCGAGCGTCGCGACGCCCGTGGAGATCTGTGTCGAGACGCTGCCAGAACCCTGTCGATCCTCGCAGATGTGATTTACGAGACTGATTTACGACAGCGGATGTGGCGTGAGAAATGATTATCCAAATTTCAAAATTCGACCCATTATAATTTTCGATTCGCTGATATTTGCGAATTACTCGATTTCTCGTCCGAAAAGTATCTTCACAAGTCTCCAGATTTTCTTAAATCTTTTCGAAATAATCAGTTATTTTGAAGTTAAAAATTTTTTAATATTAAAAAAAATCCGAAATTCAAATTACAAGGTTTATCGTACCACCACGTAAGACAATAATCTTATGCAAATCAAGTCCAAGTCGAGACTCGAATTATCTGACTCATGCGTTTGGCATGCGAATAAATACGACGAGGGTTTCAGGATTTTCGTGCTCGCCAAGAAAACGTCCGTCCGACTTATTTGCAATTTCTTTGTCTGTCGTTTATCGCGTTGCGCAGTCTGCCCGCGTTGTTGCACTTTAGTTAATCGTACCCGGCGAAGTAATTCGACTGGCATGGTGCAACGCTTTAATTTGCTTCGCTAATAGCGCGATTACCTCGAGGCAGTTCCCTTATCGAATCGATTGTTTAATCCGCTTTAATTAATGCATGACGCTAATGCTGTAATATTTTTTCATGATAGCAATTATACTCACGTCGATACAAATTTATCCATGCTCAATTGGATTAACATAACAATAAACAATGGCAAATGATGAGCGATTTGTTATACTTATTTATAAAAAAAAATGTTAATATTCCATAACTTTCGAAGCTTCCGCGATGTTTTTACACGACGTTGTAGAGGTACTATATCACCAATGAGGCTTGACAAATTGTAAGAAATGATAATGAGGAAATTAATATTAAAGCCGGAATTTCCATGGCCTCGTTCACGAACCGCATACAATGCGCTCGGCCTTCATTGTTTGCGATCTTTCTCGCGAATCTGCATATTGCCCACAATTTCCATAGTGCTCATTGGAATATTATTGATTGCGCAATTTAATCTTACAACATTAACATTTTATTATGTGAAATTGCACATACTTCAGTAGCTTATCAATTGTTTCCTAATATTCTATTCGATATTCTATCGATTTTTTTTTTTTTGGCGAATGTGACTTATACTTCTATTATTAGCTTCTGTGAATAAGTAACAATGGACAATGAAGGCGGTAAAAGTTTTACGATTTTACGCGATACTCTTTAATCTGTCATCAACAACAGCTTATACATGATATACATAAATACATTCAGTACATCGAATCAACGTTTGCAACGTCGTTGTCTGGTGAACGGAAATCGGTACAATTCTACATTAAGACTTTTTTTCCGGAATGTAATCTGGAAATTTACCGAGTATATACATTATCTATATTTCGATCCTCATTCGACCTTCTACAACAATATACGGCTACGTATATCTACAAATAATTGTGCGTCATGCTATAAATAAGAACGTGATTATATCTCTGACTCGTTAAATGTCTAGAAAAGCTCTCATAATGTCAAACGGAACAACGCTTTTTTTCGCAAGATTGGCACTTGAGTGCAAGATTAGGAAAATTACTATTTTCAACGTTGACCAAATGTCGATGCTTCCCTCATGCTATCTCTCTTCCCGAACAGTCGCGCGATACTATACTTGAAATTCGTCATAAGCGAGTAACTTGTGAACACATGGGTAGATTAACGGCTTAAGTCAGAAATTCAAGTGTTTGTTTGGGAATGTTGCATTTGGAGTTGCATTTGTGCATCATTGTTGCATTTTATGCGGACCCGCACAAATCATAAACCTTTCCTTGCTGCATTCTGTGTTTTTTTTCCTGTGCAACCGTCGTTATTGTCGAAACCATGATTTGTGACTTAAGGTGTTAACGCAGATATATTAAATATCATTAAATCGGCCCTGTATGAAAATATAGCGAGTATTCCTTCATAGTTTAATTAAAAATCTCAAAGAGTTAGTATTCTTGTTTGTGCGATCTTCAATATAATTTCTAATCGATTAGAATTTCATTTCGATTATATAGACCGTTTAAGAATTAGGCTCACAGTTACAGGTATCGTTGGTAAAATCGATCCGTTAAAGTCTGCTCTTAATCTTATTATCGTACATAATTTCGCCATCGTATCATCTGCTCGTAAATTCGAGTATTAGTCTTATTTACACGGAACGTATTCAATATGTGTAACCTGGACGTCTTTCTGTATAAAGAATCACCGGCGTGTATAAATATATTTGACACAGACGGTCGTAAAACTCGGATTTTTAGTTCTCTCTTTCTTCTCGAGCGTTCATTTCTCTCAGTATATAAAATAAGCTTTCGCACTTCGCATATATTATCTTTTCCTTCGCGTTAACAGTGGGCAGCAAATTATTCTACGTGATGATTCATATGCGTGCGCGATGTGTGTGAAACAAGTAACGTACTACATTATATATAACGTCTGTATACATATACATATACATACATATACATATACATATATATATATATATATATATATATATATATATATGTATGTATATATATATATACATGTGTATATCGGCAACTGGCAACGACTAACATCGTAGATTTAATTAGACTCCTGCGTGCTTAAGGCTCGTTTCATATCGAACATCTCTCCCCCACGATTTACTTTCATTTTAACAAGTATCCCTATCTGTGCACATGACGCCAAGTATATAGACTCGAATTCACGACAAGCATGCGTTAGAAAAACAACGTCTCCAACCAGAAAACAGAAAAAAGAAGAAGCGGCGTGGAGGTGGCAGATAAGTGAATCTCTCGTAAAGCTCGTACATTTGCGATCTCGACGCGTAATAATAATTAGCAGTCACCCTCTCTGTAATAGCACTACTAATATTTGATAAATTGAACGTAAGATCATTTGGGTTATGAGCCTGAACATACAGCATGACTAGAAATTGAACTAGAGCGGTATCTGAGAGTAACAGATTGAGCGGTATCGATCGGTCTAGCAATCTAGGCGAATAATCTAGGAGAGGTTGGCTAGCGAGAGAGGGGCTTGGAAGAAGGGTCGAAAGAGGCTTAAAACATGGTTAAAGAGGATTAAAATAGAATGGAAGAGCAAAAATATGGTCCCCGCCTCCACGCCGCGCGCTAGGCTTACCTTCCAAAATCCGTTAATTAGCTCGGTAAGCGACGTAATAAGCGTGCGCTGGCTTTAAGCTCAGCTTACACGCACGTGTTTATGTTTTCGCATATGTGCGCATGCAATTAACGTAGATTGCCTAATGCTCGATTCGAGTAGCTATTCGCTAAAAAAAAAAAGAGAAAAAGAAACGGAATTTCACGTGTAATGTAGAACAATTGCGCGAACAAAGATTTGTTTCATTTTTTTTCAGTCGCTTTACAAAGTGGAGAGCCAACTCGCATATCACTCCCGCTTTAGCATAATCGGTTCTGTGCAAATATCTATACATATATCATACATCGTATATATACACAGACATTTCCGTTTATGCTCGTAAATGTTATACACTCGCGTTTCCCTCTGCGCGAATCTTGGTAATCTTACTGACTATAGTGTACCCGGCGGAAAAAAAATAAATCGGAGGGCATTTAGTTGCTTCTTCTCTCTTGCTGTAAGGAACTGTACACAGTGTGTTACATTTATTGTTCGTTGAACTGGTCCGTCGGCGATCTCGCATGTTACCCTCAATCAGCACAATAGATCGTATCTCGAATTGATACAATGAGGCGACGTCGCGTCGTCGTTGCCAATCTACATTTTCGAGCGCGGTTTGCGAAATCCGCAAATCCACACTAGCATATAATTCCGTTTCTCAATAGCGTTTCCTAACGACAGCGACCTGCTTTTCACGACCAAGACGAAACACGATCCAAAATACCTCGGAAATCTTTAAGCTCTACCATTTCTTGCTTTCAGCTATACATTTTGATCACTGGTCATTTATTGAATCCTGGAATGAATTCACGCTCTTTCTTTATCATTATCAATTACAGCGGATTAAAACGGAACATGCTATATCTTCTTGCAATTCATTACGCAATAACGAAGTATCAATCGTATACACGCTATTGCCAAACGTTGCGTATCAATGGGCAACGGGCTTAATTATTCCAGGGCTTATTCCAGGATCAGCGCCGATGATCAAAAATTGACGATAACTCTAGGATTCGCGTGAGTGAACAAATCGTGTCACTCACTTAGGCTCGCAGTGTATAGAAAAATAAGTCGGTCTCCCATAAATATGCATTGCTCACTTCGAATGCGCTTCCTTCGACCGCGACTCTATTAATGAGCGTCTTTATTGTTCGACATCGCGGTGAAGTTCACAGCTAATAGCGATCTACACCAGGTACAAGTGTCTCCTCCCCCATCAAGCTTTACGTCCCACAACATAGCACCAAAATTTTTCGAACGAAAAATGTTCGTTACTAGAAAATTCTCCCATTTACGTATAAGGCCCCGCTCTGGAAACCTGTCCCACGTTTTCAACGTATGTCAAGTACGTAACCTGCGTAAACTGCAAAAATCTAACCAGTCCGAATCGAACGAGTTGATTCTATGCCGCGAGCCTGCCTCGGCAGTTGCATTTTAACATAATTAACTATTCGGACACAGCGTATTCAGCGTAATAACAAAGACGCGCAATCGCGTCTTTGTTAGTTAAAGTAACATCGGACGATACAGAGACTCGTAAATTCATAGAAAAATATCGTCGATGCGCACGTTCAAAGCCGCCCCGAGTCGAGAAGAATTGGCTATCGGAACTTAATTCGTTCTGAACTATTCAACGCCGGGGTGAGTTGGGCGGAAACGGCGACCGGGATTTTTTGTTATTTCTCTTATTTTTCCGATTCGGCACGAATTACGACGCCGAGTCTCTCGAAAGCTGCGCTTTCCTGCCAACCGCTATCGCATAACATCGCTCTGTATACATGTTTTATACTTATACTCATAGGGTTGCGCGGCCCTTTGACGTTGCGGCGAAGGCGGGGACCGTCCGGCCTGCTTCCTGGGATGGCATGCACAGAACACAGCACAAAACGCCACACAGTTACACAGAGAGACAAATAGAGACAGAAGAGAAGAGAAGAGATACAGATAGTAAGGTAGGCTAGAGATAAGAGAGGCGAATATGGTGAGAAAAATCTGAACGAGGGAAAACGGGAAGAGAAGAGATGAGGGGGTGCGTCGAGAACGCAGGCGAGGTGCAAGAAGTATATCGTAATAAAAGAATGCAGTATAAACATGGGCGAGGTGATTATACTCATGGGCTTATGAAAATAATTCCGGAATTATTTATCGCAGCAGAACGACATATCAAACTGACATCACGTGTTTTTGATATCATTTTATGGTCATTTCTAGTCTCTGGGAGATTATGTGCAATATAACCGCCGGACATTATGAATAATCGCCTGCGTTATTATTATTCATAACTGGCCGGAGATTATTGTTCATAATTTGTGACGATTATACATATGTTCGTTTTATCAAAATCTTCGTAATAAATGCGAAAACCGAAAAACGTTTAAAAGATTAACTTTTAATTGAAACTTCAAAAAAAAAAGTATACTATTAATTTTGTGAAATCTCTTGTCTATCGCTTTCTGCTGCGAGAAAAAATTTAAATCTAATATCGTTCGACTTGTACGCGCGATACCATCTTGGGAATCGTAATGTCGAACGATTGTTATCTTGTTTAACGCATAATGACCGTCGAAGTTATTTCCGATGTTGGTCTTGGAAAGGTATCCCGTTTCGTTTCTTGGCAGAGTGAACGCCAAACAAATCGCCGAATTGCATTATTTTTCCCCGAATTTTTTTCAACTCGCGAGAAATCGGCATCGAAATTTCATTCGCATGGGAAATTGAAATTCGTCCGAAAAATGAACGTTGCGATTCGTTCCGATAAGTGAATAAGCAGCGAAAAATCGTATTTTTTGAAAAGACAGCTGTGAGAGCATTAATTCTTTAGAAATGTCGGTGCAACGCACAATTCAAATACAATGAATAATAATATTTACATAGGATGAATATAATTTAAAAGTGCCGCCTGTGTCCGATGACGTCAATGCACGAGATGTCAGAATCCTCTTTATGAAAATTTCTGTCTGACTCGGATAGCCAATATATCTATGAATATTAAAACAACACTCGATCACACAATATTGAAGGACGAGAGTTAGTTGGAGCTCTGTGGAACACATATCTGTAGAATCGGCACATTCGTAACTTCTTTTTCGAGGTAGCTGACGTAAGTGCCAAGACGTCCTCGGTGCATAAGACAAATGTATGGGTACACGTATATGTGCACGTATCGAGGGTATGTTATACATACATACATTGTACATGTATATATGTATATATAAAAGATGGCAAAGAACAAACGCGCGCGCGTGAGAAAATAAGGACTCACCTTCGGCACAATACCACCACCGCCGCCGCCGCCGCCGCCGCCGCCGCCGCCGCCGCCGCCGGACGGTCCGCGAGCCACGTAGAGGCTCTCGGTGCGCTTAGGCTGCCCAGGACTCGGCAGAATGTCCTGTCCAAGGCCACGGTTTTTTATGAGAGCCCCCTCGAACTGGCTGGGAGTTGGCGCGTTGTACGTCGGCGTCGCAGCGCCGCTGCCTATCACGGAACCGTTCAGCGGCGTCCCCGCCCGTACCGCGCTCGGGGCTCTTGTCGATCTGCCGATCGCAAAAACAAAACAATTGTTTTCAACGAACCGGAATAGTTCTACAAAAAGATTTATGATACTCCACAAATTTCTGTAAAACCAACTTTAAATTTATTTAGATCTTTCTATAAATGACGTATATACGTAGGATCTCAGACGACACAAATGTTTTCGAATGTCAATCGCTATGCCCATTCAGATGTTACTCACCTGTCGAGCATGTCCAGGGATGGATTCGGTATGGTTTTGTCGACGGATGGCTGTCTCGATCCTATCAACCGGGAATGCGCTCTGGCATAACGATCTACGGAACTGTCGCGACTAGGTGGCCTCTTGTAGTGATCCAGCCTGCAATACAATAATCGCTTAATCCTCAATTTGCCATATAATTATAATCTCAGACGAGTATCTAGAAAAGAAAATTTGTAAGAAATATTTTATCTTGTACAGCATTGATTCATCTTAAATATGATTTCGCAGTAATTCTACGATGATTCAAAAGTTATATAAAAAATTTCTTAGAAATGTCGAAATCTTTTTAAATCACTATGTATATTAGTTGCATAAAAAGAGTCCGACCTGTCATTTAACGTTTGGCTAATAGTGCCGGGTCGATCCTGAGGACTCAGGACTCTACTGTTTCTTCGTAAACTCGTGGAGCTCGGCGGCCTTGCCGCATCCATGATGCCATCAGACTGGTACTGCGGATGCGTTTGTTGCGCGTACATCGACTGTGAATTGTACTGATTCATTTGGCCAGGCCCATATTGATTGGGTATTGCCGTCTGAAATCAATTTCATGTTGCTCTAAAGGTTTTTCACGGAAAAGTTGGAAGCTGATTTTAATCACGGAACGAATACATAGATGGATATTTCAAAATCTTGCTCAAACAGTGTCTAGTGTTCTTAGAATCTCTTAGAACATCTACATTTCTGAGATAAGCGATACTGTCGAAAAATCCTGTATTTGTTCAACGTGCGTTGTTAGGGGTTACCAAAATTTTGCAGGCTTATCGGATGGCGAGAGTTATTTAATTGTACATTTGATTGAGAAAAAACAGTGGTCTCCTATTAAATCCACTAATTTTTAACTGTCTAAAAGTGTTACTTGTAGTTCAATTTCAGTTATCATTATTCAGAACAATATAAATTTAAATAAATATAATTAAACGTTGGAATTGTCGATAATTAGTTATTAGTATTGTGACGCCGTTAAATACGTGTTAAACTCATCGGTGAAACTAGACTCGCACGCAGAAACTCATTGAGTTGCTTACACCATAAAACTGCGCGCCAAATTGATTCATTTGGGCGAATGTCATGGAATCATACGTAAACGGTGGTTGCGGATATGAGATCTAGAAAGAAACAGAGAAACACGGCATTGGCGTAAGCACACAAAAGCGCTCGGTAGATCGTAAATTAAATTATTGCGCGACGTAGAAAGCTGCGTGCGCAGAAGCCAAAAAACACCGAGGGGAACAACGTTGCTAGCGGAGTCACCTGCTGACTGGGATAAGCCTGCAAATTTTGAAAGTCGTGCGACTCGATTGGTTGCTGCTGCTGCTGTTGCTGATAACCGGAGTATTGTTCAACCTGAGATGGATTAGCCGGTTGATACTGCGACTGGTACGGATTGTTCTGGTACTGCGGGTGCTGGCTATACTGGTTTGGTTGGTACTGGTTTGGTATACTGTTCGGGTACTGGCTCGTTGGAGCCGGGTTCTGCGACACGCTCTGCTGATGATACGGATACTGTTGGTACGGATTCTGACCGGTCAGCGAAGTCTGCTGCGCGTTCAGCTGGTTCATGGACGCCTGGTTCGTCAGCGGCACCTGATTCGGTATCTGATTATGCATGGGCGGCAGCTGATTCTGCGACAGCGGCTTCATACTGGTCCTACGTATCGACTGCATCACGTTGCTGGCGGTGTTGTTCGCCGGCGTCGCATTCGTCGTTGTCGTTGTCGCCGTCGTTGTGGAGTCGACGGCCAACGAGGCGTTCTTGATCGGCGTGGCGCCGCTGGGTTGGTCCACGCTGGCTGTCTTGTGCAGGATACTTTTACCCGGCACGGAATCCTGCGGCGGCGGAACATACTTGGGTATCTCCCTGTTCCGCAACCTCTCTAAACCCGGCTGCCGGAAGTCCGGCGCGAACTGCCTCGCCGTTTGTTGCGCCAGTTCGGAGTCCTCCCTGGCGTGTTCGGCGGCGATATCGGCCAGCTCCGCCTTACCCCGCGCCGTCGCTGTCCTAGAGATAGCGATATCGGCCTTCTGCAAGGCGATCTTGCTCGCCCGTTGAGCTGCGCTCACCGCCGCCTCTATCCTTTCACGGAACTTGGCGGACCTGATCAAGAAGAGATGCTTCTTCTTCTGGCTGGTGATAAGAACGTTGTTTTTGTACTTTCCCTCCTCTTTACTGCCGTCGCGGAACGTGGTGACGCCGTAGCCATATTTGCGATTGTTGAACCATTCGCCTTCGTATCGCAACCCGTCGCTTCTCTCGGATATGCCGAAGCCGGTCCTCTTGTCGTTCTTCCATTCGCCCAAGTACGTCTCAGTTACCGACGCGTCCATCTGTTCGTCCTGCGAATCGACGTCGTGCGATTAACTATGCGTTTTGTCGATCAGTTTAATTCTTTTCAATTTTAAATCTAAGCTACAAGGTAACTTTATTGTTAATATTGCGCGTCTCTTGATACGACCAGGCTAAGCGGATTTAACGGTCGCGAACAAACGAAATTAAAATCCGATTAGAGGTTTGCCGAGTCGCGAAGACGCTGAGGAACACACAAGTACCATGACCTACCTCGATGACAAAGGACGCATTACTGTCTGTGTGAACCGACGCCGAGGCTTGACTTTGCGAGCTCTCGGTCGACATCCACGACGCCGAGCTGGCATTACTTCTGATACTACCACCAGTACCGCGCTTCTCCAAATCTCCCGTACTCCTCTGCTTTCGTATCTTGAGACCCTATTTGACAAGAATATTCTTCTAAATAATGCCGCAATTTCTGTTTAAAAATCTCGTTAACAGCTCTTCGCTCCTTTCGCGAGGGAGATGCCTTACCGAGAGAATGCCCTTCTTCAGGGACTTTTCAGTGAGGCTCTTTCTCCGAGCGGGTGGATCGTCGCTCCTGGCTTTCAGGACGAATCCCCCTCGGCTGTCGTCCACGCGTCGATCCCTCCTGTCGGTGGGTTCCGGCGTCGGGGCGACCGCTGGTCCTCCGTCGGCGCTCCTTAACGACGTCAAGGACGCTCTCACTTGCTTCGGAGGTTTGTAGTGGCTAGCCAAACCGAACGGTGCGCTCGCCCTCACCCCGTATCCATGCCGCATGCCGCGGAGCCATTGGCCTTGATAAGTACCTACAAGATCATCCATGTAACGCAACAGAAATAGAAACAGAAGTTCGAGACGGGACGTTCCATCGAGCGAATTACACGCCGTCTTATCCATTAGGGCTGATGAAATTATTTTTCATAGAATTAACACGTAAATCTCTTCACGTGACTCAATTTATTTCGAGTCTTTCTAATATTACGTTGAGGCAAAAGTTTTTTGTCATTTCTTTATCAAATTCTATATTAAAACTATATTAAACAAGTTTATAGAAATCCGGAGTTCTTTTTTCTTTTTCTTAAATAAAAAAAGAGTATTGAAGTTAGTGACAACAATTTCGCTTCGACTTGTAACGTTATTTTAAATTTTATCTAACAGGTATGATAAATCTTTCGCATCAGACGAATAATGTAATAATGTAATAATCGTTGAAAAGTCAAGTCATTGTTCGATAGCGATAAAGACAACATTTTTTGAGGAATAATAGAGCGAAAGCGCGAAAAATGCGAGAAATTCGTTAGCAATGCGTCAGAAATCGGTAGTATGTCAGTCAATTACGACGAATCCCCGGGGGTTGCTTACACTCGTAAGATATATTGTTTTTGCCAAAACGTGACCGTGTTTCAAAATGTTTCGCGTGAGTCACGTACGAGGCGAGCGGTTACGCGCGTCCCGTTCAGGGATGGAATGCGTTCAGTTGCGCATGTAGGTGCTTTTTCGGAGAACATGTGAATTCCGAATCGATGAAAAAACCTAGAGAGAAACTGGTAACTCCGTTTTCTCGGATTTCGTACAAAAAACGCAGACGCGTGGAGGACGCGCGTGATTCTTTTTGCAAATTAACGTTGCGGTGTCGCACGTTATTTTCGCGTTTCATGTAGTTTGTATTTTTAATAGCCGCGTCAATATTACATACTATTACGTATTATCGCCTCCATCTTTTTAGTCGTCAGACCTTATCAATATCACGCAACTCGCAGACGTTCCGCCGTGCATACTGCGAGCGCGGACGTTCTTTCGAAAGAGTATTATTCCATTCTGTGTTGAATAGCTCGTGTCCTGGACAAGGTATTGCGGTCGCAGTGAAAAGTTTCGGCCGACGACGTTTATTGGCATGCAAACCAAGTCACTCGTATGCATCACAACGACGCGTCAACGTTTCGGTTGCGCTGGAACTGGACGCATCACGCTTTTCTTCTCAGTTCTCTGACACAATTCAGCCGTGAATATATACAAGGTGTCTCATTGCTGTTATCATTCATATTAGTAGCAGATATCTCGATTTTTAAAATCAATTTTAATCGTTTATAATTATTAGTTTTTTTAAATATTGATATAAGTTTAATACATATATTAAAACATAAAAATGAATGTATCAATAAAACAATTACGCTTTTTCTTGATGTCCCATTTAAATGCAATTCTTTTCAATAATCTTGATTTCAATAATCAAATTTATATAGAAATTAGGTATAAATATAATTAAAAAAATACTATACATTATAAAAATTATAAAACGATACATACAGAAATTGGTGAATTATTAAAGTTGTCGAATTAATATCGAAAAAAAGTATTTTTCGCGAACAAGAATCTTCCGTCGAATTCTTGCTCTGTCAAAATCACACGCGAATTCAATTCGTCAAGGAATCTGTCATTAGCAGACACATTACGATGTCGATGGGATACCCTATATATGGCGACGCCAGGCGTCTCCCCTCTTCGCGACGACGGAATATTATTTCGCTAGCGTTTAAGCAAGTGGGTCACGCGGCGGTTCCCGGCGTTCACACACAAGACGCCCAATGTACACGAACCCTCGAAATTGCCGTCGCGGCGGCGACGATGTCAGTCTGAATGCATACCGCACGTTTTCAATTAATTTTTAGGCACGGCCGCGAGAGCCGTACACCATCGTCGAGAGCACACGTGTGCGCGTGGTAAATGTTTAAACATTACGCTGTTCAACTATTCACGAGAGCGAAATCTTTCTGCATTACGAGCTACCTCGTCGAGAGTCAAGTCGGGATAATAAGTTTTTCCTCGGCGATTTTACTCAGATAGATTGGCACGCTCGTTGCCTACGCCGTAAATTATTCTTACGGTGTGAAAGAGATTGCCAGTCAAGAAAGAATTATATTTCTTGATATTTTCAAAAAGTTATTATGTAAAAGCTTCTCAATTACTGTTTCTCGCTCCCCACACCTCTCTGATTTTCCGTCCCTGTGATAAGCGCAATAAATTCATCTTCTGCTGATATACACGTCCTCTATTAATTCCAGACTTTGGTATAACATACATATATTTGTCTATATACGACGCGCGCGCGACTCTGTAGTTTTACGCGAAACATTTCCTTCAAGAGCTCTCGAGAGTTTGTCCTGGCACAGTTGGATACGTTTTTCTCTCTCTCTCTCTCTCTCTCTCTCTCTCTTCCTCTCTTTTTCTTTATCGAAAAGATTTATGATTTTAAGTTCGCCGTACAAATCTAGGAATCGATTTAGGGAGACACCCACTTTGTGCAGACTGCTCGGAGTTATCGAGGTCAGTTCGGGTTGTCAGCCGCGTGGAGACAGTCTAGCACGAAAAGTCTCGTGATGTCCCTCAGGGGGGTCCTAACAAATTTCGAATTTTGAAACGTGGCTTTCGAACAAAGAGACGCCGCCGAGTCCGCGACGGAGACGTTAACCGAATAGTACTATACATATAGTAAATACATCGCGGAAAAGTGGAATGCGCCACAATATATCGATCCGTCAGCAACGACCCAGATTAATTATTGTCGAGCTTCTAATTCTCATCCGTGTTAATCCGGACCGCGGACTTTTCCATGACAGTGTTCTCGTTAAATATCGTTCGATAAGCGAATAGTTTCGTAAGTTAACTTCGCACAAATTATCCTCCGGGGATCGTTGACGGGAAAAGTTTCCCTCGATCGGATCGATCTCGTGCGAATCAATTATGAATCAGACATCGTTTCGGATCGATCGCACTTAACGACGTTCCATTTAACATATATTTGCACAACGCACTGTTTTGCGAATTGAGTTTAGCAAGTTGTTGTTTTTTTCGCATTTATTTATCTAGCTGCGATACGCGCGCGTGGGACGATCGATAGTCCCCCACAAATTTCATTTCCCGGCGGACTCTGGTAGGACGTGGCAAGTTGGGTTTAACATAGAACGAGTTTAACACGGAATAGGGGGGTCATCCCGACATATATCTGTCATGTAGGAGGCACGAAAACGGGAGCCTTTAATCTAACCGGAGCGCAGTAAGCCGTCGATATCGTGAAAAATAATCGTCGGTCTTGGCGTTTCGAAATTTATCGCCAGCGCTTGCTGGCCATTATCTGTCGATATATGTTCGCTTTCCTTTTAAAACACGGAGAGTTATACAGCTACGGACGACCGGATTTTTATTGGTGGATTAAGGCCGAGGTAGAACGGCCGTACAAAGAATCTCTGCAGGGTGAATCAAAACGTGCTGTACGGTCCTGATTCGCTACATGGCACTGGCTAGTCTGCCTGAAATAGCACGGCCATCTTTCGAGGTGGTGGTCGGTTGCACGTGCATCGGGACGCATCTCGGTGTTGGTGAAAATTGGCCGTGCGAGCGTATTTCGGTCCGCAGCCTCCACCAGATCGTCGCAAACCACCCTAACGGGTCTGTCGGTCGTCCCCAACTGTCTTTTAGTTATGTGTCTCTGTTTAGGGAGAGTGGGTGGAAGTTGTAAGAAACGCGCGTCCTTATAAAGAAAAGAAAAGAAATATCACCGAACGATATCTATAATTTATCTATTTGCTTTTACGTTGCCCCGCATTATCGTACAAATGGACTTCGCAGGGACTGTGCCACAGCTCTTCGGAACTTGATGACTTACGCTTTGTCACTAAGGAGAACTTTATTATGTATATAGACATGATTAATATTACAAAAACTACTGTCCCTTTCTTTCTTTTCGCGATCGATCAGGTGAATGAGGTGCGCAAAAAATATGGAGCAAGAACCGTGCGCTGTCGTCTGAGCTTGACGGTTTACGTTTATGTCGCAATTCACATCGGACAATGTACGTCAGCACGGTTAAAACCCCCATCTGTTTCAAGAAAAAACCGGCTACTTTCTTATTGATTAAAATATTCGTGCGTCGTTGCATCCTATGCAGCTTCGATCCGAGCGCCATGCGTGCTACATGTATGATTACATAGCTGTGCATCGGGTTGCCGAGCGTCCATTGCGATAACAAAGTGGCATACTTTTTCTTCTTCGCGCGGTCGCACTGGAAAATTTACCGAAATATTACCACGATATTACCGCACGAGCGGTTGAAAAATTAAATCTCGTTTGTAAACCTCACATTACGAATCGTAATATGCGCTTGACAAAATTCTCTTTTGCGATTAATCGTAGACAACTGTTCGGGCGTAGACTTGCTACTTTCGCGTTCGGTCTATCATCTCGATTATTCCGTCCTCGATCCATCGTTATTGTCTTCGGATTTACGGCTGTCCTTGGCATTAATTAAACGCCGTTTTAAAATTTGTAGCGGCCTTTTTTTCGCACGCAACCGCAGCATTCTCGTGTGACGTAAGACGTGTGACGCCAGGAAAAATCAGGAATAACAGCCGAGCCGTATAAAGTGGGTAAAAGCGGCTCATCAAGGTAACCCACGCCGGTGTAATATTAACAGCCCCATATCCCGTATACAGCCGCTATTTGCATAAAGGGTTGCGGCACGCTCGCTGGAGGCAAAAAAAAGTAGATTACGCGGCCTTCTGTTACAAACCGCGTGCGCGCGCGCGCGAAATTGTTCAGCTTCTCCCCTTCTCTCTCTCTCTCTCTCTCTCTCTCTCTCTCTCTTTCTCTCTCGCGCGCGCGCGCTTGTTTTTTATACGACGCAAAACGAGATGTTATTTCCATTGCATATATACGACTTACATGACGCATCGTTTAATTATGCGACAACCTGTCGGACGATTCGCACAATGTAACTAAATTGCATAGGTCCAGAGGGTGCCGTTACCAT